CCCCCACCACATCACACCACACAGCAATGCCTCCCCACTACACACCCCACCTTCCTCACCACACCAAACTACCACCCTCACCACCCACCACACTAACTCCCCACCACACCACACTCACCACAACCCACCACAAAATCACCACCACACCACACCACCTCCCCACCACACCACACTCACCCCCCATCACTCCACACTACCTCCCACCACACTAAACGACTCCCCATCATCACCTACCACACTACTTCCTTACCACACCATCCACTCCAATAACTACTCTCACCATTACACCTACCTCACCACACCACACTACCTCCCTCATCACCCACCACACTACTCCTCACCACCCAACTACACTACCTCCTCACCACACCTACTACTATTACTACTACTACTTTGCTGTCACTCGAATCGAGTATGACGATCATCCAGCTATGATATAATGATATGAGTTATTAAGGATGTCACTTAGGTTGGTGAGTTCTGAGGTGACTAAAGAGGCCGATACGGGACCGACAGGGCCGATCACAGATGTGGCACATGTGGAGGGCTACGACCAGTGCGGAGGGACGGTGGCAGTTGTATTTCTGGCGTTGGCATGTGTCTGCCTTTGTTATGCAGTCGGGCAACTCGAAAGTATTGACACCTTGAGTGTTTCTAGCGTTAAGGTGGAGTAATCGTCTCCCAGGTGAGAGGGTCGATTTGGCGCATTTCAGTTGCTCGCCAGCGTGACGTTTACTATTCGTTAGATGACTGTAAAGTAACTGCTTTGGCAGTCTACTGTCGTCCATGCGGGTAATATATAGCCAGTCCAGCGTACGTGCTCGCGGATAATGACAGCATCGATACTTTCTACAGTAGGTGTCAGGAAAATACTGGCATTTGTTCTCTAGTCTCCCCAGCGAACTCGGAGGATGAAACGTAGACTACGTTGGTGAAAGTTTTCTGCGCCTTGAGGTGCCTCCAGTATGGGCCCATGTCTTGCTAATATCCTAATTCTGTTGGTTGTAGCACTTGTGAGTACGTCCCCCACTAATATAATTTCTGCCAGATCTTCCTTTTTCACACCTGAGTTTTTACTGTTTAATCAGTATCAATGTTCCTACATTGGTGATGCTAGTGTCATTCCTTTGAATGTGAAGATCGTATGTTACACCCCATTTACCCATGGTGTCGACACAGACTCTCATATCGATCCTGATGCCTTTCATAAACCCCACACCAACCCCAACTGTCACTATTACTTTCCTGACTCTCGCAAGTTTAGTTCTAGTCTTCTACTACCTCATTCCTTCTCCCTTGATTAGCCATAACATCAGCAGTATTCTTTGTTACGACCGTGTCGTATTTTTTCTTTTTTTTTTATATAACATGCTTCCATGTTCCATATTATTGCTGTTAAGGTTTTATCTGTTATTATTTGTTCAAACCCATTTTGTATTGTAACAAGCATTCTTGTTTTATAATGACCATCTGCATCGTTAAACGACCCACTGGCGGAGCGCACCTTATATATAGGGACTCCACTAACTGTTGACGGAGTTAGTTCAGTCCTCTGTCATACAGTTCACATTCTTTGAGTGACTCTCGTCACCTGTTACTTATACTTTAATTTATTTGTGTTGTTCCTGTCGCCACCAATGTGGTATATCTATGTGAGTACCTATTTATGTCTCTATTTATGTCCATCAGTATTTGCTTCGTTACATTTAAGTAATTCAGTGTTGTTTCAATGTTGTTAATTTCACTGTTAGTTTTTATATGTTTATGCAGTGTTAACGTAATCCAATGCTTTATTTTTATTCTTTTGATGTTTGATGTTCAGTATCATTTGTGTCTTAAATGTTTCTGATGGTGAATCAATTTGTGCATACAGCCTACGAGGCTTCTTTTTATTGTGTTAATATTTAATTAATTAAATTCTAAAGGTTTACTTTATTTATTTTTATTCCTTAATTTACTTCACTTTTTGTTTGGTTACGCTCTGAACCTGGATATATAAGTAAATTAAGAGATGAGTGTAACACCTTCATATAGATACCTTTTTAGATCAGTGTTTATCTTCTCTGCCCACAAATTTGATGTAGATAGTTAAAAAAAATGAAACATTAGTGGAGATGGAATCAAATATTTTGGATCGCAATCTAGAGCAAAATAGTAATCCTAGTCAGTCACGAAATAGAGTTGGTTCGGTTTTTAAGGAGAATGTAGTAAACAAGGAAATGCTTGGTGACCTGACGAACATTCTTGACTCTTTTTTGGAATATATGGAAAATCCAAGGGACGACGTCAAAAAGAATGTTCTTATTTCGGTGAAGAATATGAGGGGGAAAATTTAGTCCAATGGATCATAATGTCCGCTTAATTTCCTGGAAAGTTAATGGTTTGAAAAAAAGGTTAACGGATCTTCATGCATATGTTCATTCTAGTAGTATTGATGTCATAGCTTCACAAGAGGCTGGGACAAACGGTACATCTTTGCAACTAAGAGGTTATCAAAGTTTTAAATTACCAGTTGATTTGACTGGAAATTGCAGAGGTTTGATGACATTCAGCTCTAAAAAATAAACGGTACCGAGTATTTGTGTGTTAGTATTACGCTTCAAGATGCTACACTGTTCATTATTAATGCTTATGTGCATGCTGAGTCATTGACAGTTGATGAACTGCTGGACATTGTTTTTGCTGATGATTGTTTACTAATTGGTGATTTGTGCGCTAGGCATAACAATCTTGGCAGTAGAGGTTCTCAAAATCACAATGGAATGGTTCTGGAAAATATCTTGGACTCTATAGAAAATGCTAAGGTTCTTGAAGCTGGTGAGCCGACACATGTTAAAGGGGGTAGACTTGATTATGCAACTCTTTTTAATATGCTAGTTGCGCAGGCACATTTGGATATTGAGGATACGCTTTTGAGTGATCACTTTGCAATTAAAGTGAAGTTTCATTTGAACAAAATTTTTTGTTAACAATAGAAAAAGGTATACAATAACAGTAGGCCAACATAGTAAATTTGTAGCAAAAGTCGGCGAGTGGTATAAAGAGTACAAAAAGCTTGGAATTAAAGATGAAAACATATTTTATGATGATTTGTTAGGAGTGATTGATTCCATTTTGAATAAGCCAAGGAAACCGTATGGAAATACCACAAAATCTAAGCCTAGGTATTATGATAAGATTGTAAAGGGGTGGAATAAGTTATTGAGGAAATGTCATAGTAAGTAGAGTAAAGATCCTAGCAATGAAATAACCCGGGAAACTCTGATTGAAGTGGCAGAGTGTACAACAGAGTTAAATCAGAAAGCCCGAAATATGTATTGGAGTGTTTTTTTTTTTTTTTAGATAGATTGCACAATCAAAATCATTGAATCAAGTTTGGGATGGTGTGAATAGGGTAAGAGGATTCAAGGAGAAATTTAATGTTCATCCCAATCCAAACGCTAAAAGTAATGAATTAATGAATAAGTGGGCGTATGCATCTAATTATGAGTGTCTCCCATGTAATGTTCAGGTTTTCTTGAGGAATTCAAGATACATGAGGCGAAGGTTGGTGAATATCCAAAGTACTGTAAGTGAGGAAACCTGTGTTCCTTTTATTAAGGATGAAATTCTGAATGCTGTAAAGAAAGGGAAGCCTAGTGTTCCTGGCAGGGATGGTCTAACTTATGATGTTATCAATTATCTTATAAGTATGGAGGACAACCCAATTCTAGATCTCTTTAATTTGTCATATGAAAATGGAAGACCGCCAGTGAAATGGAAAATGCCACTCATTGTTCCTGTGCCTAAGGGCGATAATGATTATAGACCCATATCCCTAACATCTTGTCTATCTAAAATGATGGAACGAATGGTATTAAATAGATTATTGTATAAAATTGATGGTCACTTGTCTAGTAATTTGTTTGGATTTTTAAAGGGTAAAAACACTACAGATTGTGTGATTAAATGTTGTAGTAATGCTAATGTCAACTGTAGACTGTTTGTAGACCTTAAAAAGTGCCTTTGATAAGGCAAATAAGGAAGTGATCTTAGAAAGTCTTGTAAGTAAAGGTATAAAAGGGAAATTATTGATGTGGATTACAGATTACTTAACTAACCGAAAAACGAGTGACTGGTTTCAAGGTCATGAATCTGAAGAACAAAGTCTTGGGTTGGGTACCTCACAAGGTGGCGTTCTTAGCCCTATGCTTTTTAATATTCTTATGGACAGAATAGCAAGTTACAAATTCCAGGACGAGTCCCAAGTAATCATTTATGCTCATGACATTCTGATCCAATGTAAGAATGAAGATATGTCTAGGGTCATTGATCAGCTGAAGCATCTTTGTATCTACTTGGGACTGGTCATTAATGAAAATATTACCAGATATCAGTCCAGGGCAGTAAATGGAAAAGAATTTTGGCTAAATGGAATAAAATTGCAAAAAGTATCCAGTTACAAATATCTGGGAATGTTTGTGGGTATAAATAATAATGTTAAGGATCGAATTACTTATGTCAACAATATATGTCCAGCGAGGCTAAAACCTCTGAAAGTTTTGTCAAATAGAGCAAATGGTGTTGGTATACCAGTTTTAACATCTATGCACTTAAGTACAGTTAGGAGTATCATTGATTATTCAGCTCCAGTTCTAGCTTCTTACTCGGGAAAAGATCTTGGGCCATTAGAGCTTATTAAGAATGAAGCAATGAGGATTGTGCTTGGTTGTCCAAGGACAACAAGAATAGAGATTATGAGGATGGAGCTAAATGTCTCGAGCATAATACACAGAATTAGGGAGTTGACTGTCATTTCTACTCTTAGGCTTATTAGGCGTGGTGATGGGTATCTGAAGTCTGCTGTTGATAAATTTACTAATGCAATTACTAGTAATTTTAAGATGAATACTTATACTAA